TTGCCACGTGCGCTACCGCCGCCGCCGCAGGCAGCACCCCTGCGGCGGCGGCAGCGGCAGCAAGCCGTGGACCCAACCGCCGTGCCGCCGCCGCCGCAGGCAGCAGCCCTGCGACGGCAGCGGCAGCAAGCCGTGGACCGAAACGCCGTGCCGCCGAGTCCCGTGGCTGTGGCCGTGGGCTTCTGGCAGGAAGGTACGGCCGCAGCTCGGCGGCACGGGGGCGTCGCAGCGTGCCGCCGCCGCCGCCGCGCTGCCCCCCAGGCACGGCGGCGGCAGCAGCAAGCTTGGGCCCAAACGCCGTGCCGCCGAGTCCCGTGGCTGCGGCCGTAGACTGTGGGCCGGAAACTGCAGCCGCAGCTCGGCGGCACGCGGTTCTGTTCAAGTCGCCAAGCGTGCAGCAGCGCCGAACCACGCTTCCCGGCCTCGGCGCATGCCTTCAGGGGCCCCCTATCGCTGGGCACACCCCTCCAACACTGAACATGCGCCCGGGGGGAGGGCGGCCCGGGCTGCCCAGGCCAAAGTGGGCCGCCCTCGAGCAAGAGGCGGCCGGTCTGTGTGCTGAATGAATGAATGAATGAATGAATGACACAGCGTGCCAGCACCAGCAGGCTCACCTATGCACACGTCGTTCACAGGGCTGGGCCGGTAACCGCTGAAGAATCGGTACTCAGGCACCGTGGAGGCCCCACACTGGCTGCAGCGCCCACGGCTGTCACAGGCCACACAACCGCTGTACCAATCCTGCGCGCAGATCTGGCACCTCCCGGCGGCATCCCTGTAGACGGGCCGCTTGTCCACGCTGTGTGGGCTGCGCCTCCGGATATGGAACACAACACAGTGGCTGCACTTTCCGGGGTCCGGACCGCACTTGGAGCAGAGAGGGTCGGTGCTGCACAGTCAGAAGGGGCAAGAGATGCTGGAAGGAAGGCAGGGAAAACCTTCTGATTTGACCACCCAAGTGCGGGTAGATGCGTGCTCCGCCGCTGCGCCAGCCGGCACGCACCAGCGAACACAATCGTGCTTGGCATCGAAGCCCCAGCCGTCAGCGCACTGCTTGCAGAGGGTGCCCTCTTTGTTGCACGCCGCACAGCGTGCGTCGTCGCACTGTGGCAGGGTGGCGGCGTCACAGACAGGTGTGCAGTTGTTTGTGTGCAGCGAAAAGAAGCACGGCCAAGGAAGCGGCGGCGGGCCGCAGCGCGAGCAGGGCGGGAGGGTGCTGGCGGGGGATGGGCGGAGGACTGCCAGCGGAGCCGCCATGCATCCGCAAGTACATTTCGGTCATATGCCCACCTCGGTCTTTCCTGCAAGGGTGGAGACGCACGGAAGCGGCAGACATGAGCCCACTTACGACACAACCCGCTGACCAGCAGCCGCAGCGTTGCGCTGGGTGCTGCGAACCCCTTCTAGAATGACTGTTAGAGCGCTGTGCTGGGGACCAACCTCTCGCGAGAACTGCCTGGCACGACACACAAGCCAACAAGAGCACCGCGGCAGATGCCCTGCGAGACATGGCCTTTTCGTGCGGGGTGAGCAGCAAAATGGTAACTGAGAGGGAAGAGGAGCACAAAATGACTGCCAGCGGTTTCGGGGAGGGCGTTGCTGAGCGGATGCAAGTGGCGCACGCGGTACGCTGCCGCTGAGCAGCGGCACGACCGTCAGCACACTGTGATTGTGCGCTAGTGAACCGGGCGGACGGTCAGAAGGGCAAGGGGAACGCTCGGTACAGGATATGGTCGTTGCATTGGCACGACTATGCCTGGATCAGGCGCCCCTGCGACAGAATCCCCACGGCTGGTGTCCCCGCGCGCGGCTGCCCAGCCGCCGCCGCTCGCCTGGCATCAAGACATCTGTGTTGCATGGACCGCCCAGGTCATCTTGTTGCCAGCTTTGTGAGACAAGCTGATCGTCAATTTTCTGCGCCGAAGCTTGTTTTGTGCACCAATAGGCACGCAAGATGCCCTCAACTTGTCTAGCGCTGCTCAGCAGCGCGTGTGCCACGCACCCCCAGCGCACATATGCCTTGCCAGCCTTGCTAGGTCCTCTCCGCGCTCACGGTGAGCCCCTTGACTAATGCTGTCCCCCCGCCTGCCCCGTCTCTGCTTGCGGCTGCCTTGTGCTGCAAGCTGTCGCGCGAGCCGTCAGGGTTTGGCTGCCGTGGAGGGTGGGGCGGGTGGCGGCCACCATCACTGCCGCCGCCGCCGCCGCCGCTTGGCCCGCCGCCGCTTGGCCCGCCGCTTGGCCTGTTCCTCGCTGACGCTACTGTGACGCCTGTTTGTGTCCTCGCTCTGCACGAACGACCCCTGCCACGCTGCCCCTCTGTTCTTGCGCCTTGCAGCGCGACCCCAACCCCGGCCGTTGCAAGCGGACGTTGGCAGCACACGTGGCAGCAGCTGCGCAGCGCTGCGGCAGCGACTGCTGTGCCGCTCGGCTCATGTTGTGGCATACCTTGACGAGGACAAGCAGGATCCAGAGGACACGCGTGAGGTGGGTGGCTGCGCCCATGAGGGAATACCGCTTCGCTGATCGGCAGAAGAGGAAGGTGTGCGTAACAGAGGAAGGCTGTGCGTATCCCATCCTGTTGTTGGCCCGCTGTGCGTGCAGCACCAGAAGGTCACCGTGGCGATTGTGGGCGGCGGCCCTGCTGCGCACACCGCCGCCATCTACCTGGCGCGGGCCGAGATGGCGCCGGTGCTGTTTGAGGGGTGGATGGCCAACGGGCTGGCGCCGGGCGGCCAGCTGACCACCACGACGTGAGGGGGAATGGCCTGGCTGCGCTGCAGGCCCACGCGCCCGGGCCAGCCTCGGCCGTGCAGCCCAGCTCTCCTTGGGCAGCTGCACGCCTGCCCGGTGGCGGCGGCGGTAGCTGCACGCCCGCAAGCTCCCCCTGCCCACCCGTCCCTCGCGTGTGCTGCCCCCGTCCGCCTGCAACGGCCGGGGTTTGGGGTCGCG